GGCATATCTTGGAAGCTTGGTCCCCAGAGTGGTGGTATTGTGATGGTGAAAACTTCAAGAATTGGGAGGACCAAGAGATGACTAGATCACAGGGTCACCAATTTCAGAAGGTATTAATAGTGGTTTCAGAGTAGATTAGTATGTATGAGAATGGCTTATTATAGAGAGGACACCCCACAGGCTTGGCCCTCCTGCAAACACTCCTATCGTGGAAAGCCACCCACCCCATGAGCCCACAACAGAGCAGACCAGGTGCCAGCACCATGCCCTCAGAATGACAGAACTGTGAAGTAAATAAACATTTTTTGTTCTCAAAATTCCCAGCCTTAGAATTTTTTTAATACCAACAGAAAAATAACCAAGGCAGCTGATCACTCCTTGTTGTCTTTGGAGGTAGAGAGGAACATACCTCTGGAAGAAGCTCATCTTCATCTCCAAAGAATAGATGGTAAAACCCTCCAGAGAAACATTATTGATTTTAACAGGGCCAATTAATCCTGCAGAGGGGAGGCAGTAAAGAGAATAGAAACAAGGACTGGATATTCTTCAGGATCTGGGACAAAGACATGAAGACATATGTATGCCTTGTGACGGGGGCACAGTCAGGAGGACATTTATGTGACAGCTGTGAATGAGGTTTCTGCTTGTTTGTATACTTAAACTATCGAGAAAGTTCCCACTTAGTATTGGAACATTTCTTAAAATTCCCAAAAGGAGACTGGGCCCTGCTCTTGGACAAACCAGCACCCAATAACTGTTCTACTTTCCTGCCCTGTAGAAGTGGAAAAGGAAGGAGAGGGCAAGAAAAAGAGTTGTCATCTTTGATCCTAGATCCTCAGTATCCCATGCTGAGGAGTCCACTGTTGTTCTCCCAAACCCAACACAGCCCCAACTATTCATTCTAAGTAACTAAAGTGAAACCACTGCCTGCTTCTCAGGCCCTGATATCACCTTTCCTCTCATCTTGAATTTTCCATGAAAAATTTACTCGTCCTTGATTCTCCACCAGGATTCTGAGAAGTTGACATTCCTGTTTGGGGCAGAATAGTTAATGGAGACTATATAGCCAGTTAGAACTCATATTCTAGAACTCATGATTTCCTCCAAGTCCCAGAAGGAAACAAAAGCAAAAGGGATAAAAGATGCCCCACAGCCCAGCAGTGCTCCCTCTCCAGTAAAGAGATGGGTGTGCTTCTATTACATATTACATCTGCCCTTTTCTTCTGCTGATCTTATTAGAAAGATAGAGGCTTACTTATGCCTTTGATCGGAGACCTAAACAGAGGCTGGGAATGACTCTTGCCTAGAGAAGAAAGTCCACTCTCACTAGAGCTTCTGGGCTGTAGGTTCGAAGCACCAGGGCTTGGGATATACCTTATACCCTTGCACAATCCTGTAGCAGCTCTATATGAGAAGATACACCAAAGCATAGTGGAGGAGAAGGAGGGATCTCAGGAACCGGACATATTTACCTGTTAACAGTGGTTCAAGAGCATCACCTGGATTCTAGAGCTACATACCGTGAAATTAGGAATGAACAGGTCCTGAACTTTCTCATTCAGAACTCCTAAAATTGTGTAATTCAAAAACACCTACAAAAAAAGAAACAGCATAAGACTGAGCCACCTGAAGAAAAGGAGAAGACAGGCTGTGGTTGAGGCAGAAGGAGGTCAATATGAGAGCAGGGACTAACAAATGTTTAGAAGCTCAATGGGAATTCCCAAAATAATTTGTGTTAAAGTAAAATGGAAGTCTGTTTTATTTGACTTTATAATCTCAATGCCTCCCCCATAGTAGGTGCTTTAAACATTACCATATAGTAAAGCAGATCAGCAACTAATTTGCTTCTTCAATTACAGAGTTAGATAAACATCAGGCTCACCACTTGGGATACCTATTGATAGGTACCTGTCCAATATCATGAACTTCAGCATGCAGGTAGCCTCCAGAGCAGATTGAAGTCTCATAAAGGACAAATCCAAAGGACTGACCACTGCCATTGTTTATCGGAAGATTCTCCATGTTGACTGGAATATGTGACTTCACTGGCTATGAGGAAGACAAGACAGGGACAGAAACCAAAGGACTGAGAAGTCAGGATCTTGCTGTCTGAGACTCTCATCACTGTTAAACCACTTATTGGTCCTCAAAAGTTCGCTGAATAGAAAATAATAGAACAAATGCTATGTGACCATGCTCTTATAAGTTAGGAAATTTCCTACCGACTAGGAAATTCAGGTGCTGGTGAAGAGAGCATACTTTCTGTAATCGTTAAGAATCAATCAACTGAGTAAACAAATTACATTCTAAATAATTGAAGTAGTCAAGAGATGATGTATACACTAAGTAATATTTAGTTAGCATGTGCTTGTCACTACTTTTTATCTAAAATAGTGAAATGAGAGGTAAAAAAAAACCACATGACCTTGTTTTTGAAAATTTTTCAAATTTTCTTCAAAATAGGGTACATACTGTAATTGCAAAGGGGCAACAGAGATCCATAATAGTTCAGTGACTAGACTAGTTGACGGTGAATCAAGACAGCAGTTCAGTTACATGGGTTCCCAGCTCTGATCTAGTCCTTTATGGATGCCATCACAGTATTCACCAAACACAATATCCTCTATAATCCTGCTATTCACCTCCACCAACATTTATTCTTCAAGTTTAAACCTCTTCACAGTTCTCCCAAAAGGAACTGGTGGGTCTTATTCCATGGCTCTATGTTTAGACATAATGCCAAGGATTAATTTTTATACTTCACAACAAAAATTCCTTGAAGAAATATCTTTTTTAAGGAGTAATAGAAGTGCTCTTTATTGTTTTTATGCATTAAAATTCTTATTACACATATTAAGCATAATTTTTCATATCTCTGTTTTTATATAAAGTATGCTCACATCAATTCATGTCTTCATACATGTACTTTGGATAATGATGTCCATCACATTCTACCATCATTGCTAACCCCCTGTCCCCTCTTTCCCCTCTCATCCCTCTGCCCTATCTGGAGTTTGTCTATTCCTCCTACGCTCCCCCTCTCTACCCAACTATGATGCAGTCACCATATAACAAAGAAAACGTTTGGCATTTGTTTTTTTTTAGGATTGGCTAACTTCACTTAGCTGATGGGACTGCAAATTGGTGCAACCAATATGGAAAGTGGTATGGAGATTCCATGGAAAACTGAGAATGGAACCACCATTTGATCCAGCTATCCCTCTCCTCAGTTTATACCCAAAGAACTTAAAAACAGCATACTACTGGGACACAGCCACATCAATGTTTATAGCAGAACAATTCACAACAGCTAAACTGTGGTAGCAAACTAGATGCCCTTCAATAGGTGAATGAATAAAAACAAAATGTGGCATATATACACAATGGAATTTTACTCAGCAATAAAAGAGAATAAAATCATGGCATTTGCAGGTAAATAGATGGAGTTAGAGAAGATAATGCTAAGTGAAGTAAGCCTTGAAGGAATCTCTACACCCTGGTCTCAGTCCTTTCCCCCCATCTCTGTAATGGTCAATCTTAGGCTGGTGCCAAAGCAGGACTCACCTCATTTAAGTACTGAAGAACCTCCCACAGTGGTAAGAAGTGAGATGGTCTCACAGAAGGGTACACGGTCTTCAAAGTATGTTGAGGTGAGAGGGGCAGGGGCTTTTCTACAAAGAAAATGAGTCACAGGGCAAGAAATGCCTATGATGACCACTGCCTTCTCTTAGCCTCCCCATTCTTATTCCTGATTCCTTGTATCCCTCAGTAAGCAAGAGAAATGAGATCTATGCTAGGATATGCATGTGCTTCTCCAAAAGTGATGCTAAATAGGCAAGAACTAAGTTGAAGCCATTTTGCAAACACACATAACTGGTAGACACAGAACCATAGAAGAGAGAGGGCTATTAGGGCATAGGAACTCTGTCTTATATCTTCTACAATGTTAGGCCTAGTTTCTAGGCCTTAGTAGATGGCTAACTGACTTTATTTAGTGAAATAAAATTAAACAGAATGAGGGGTTTTTTTCTTTTTATTTATGGGGTTCCTAAGTCATACACAGTACTAAGAATTTTACAAATAGGAACTTAGTCTTCACCATCATCATAGGAAACACATGTCATTATCTTAATTTTCAGCTAAAAGACTTAGAAAAGCTTATGCAAAACCACGCAGCTTTTAAGTGGGAAAGCCAGAATTGGAACCTAAGATTGCCTTTACCCTCAGGAACTTCATTAAACTGATGTTTATAGAAGAGACTGTTCCCTGTCCTCACTCTACCATAGGGTGGCCATCCTTCCATCAAATGGGTGTTGAGTACCTGAAATAGATGCAAAGAGTTTGCGAAGCTTGAAATATTTTTCTGTGTAATCTCCAGCCTCTGTCAGCACAGCATCATAATCTGCAAGACATCCAAGGCAGGGTCACAGGCCATGCAGCCCTCCACATCAGGCCCTGTTTTAGCACAGAACATGGGATAGGTCAGGGCCTCTGAGAGTAAGAGAGAAGGAAAATATATTAACTGCCTCCAGAATGCTCCATGACAGGCTAGTACATGAGGATGAAATGTAAGAACACTCCTCACGCCCTTCCTGGGGACTTGTATCTCCATAACACTGAGCCCACCCTGGGCATTTTACTTTCTGATGGAGACTCTAATCACTCCTCAATCTGGATTTTTCCAGCTGTGTCCAGCTGTGCTTGATAGCAATCATAGTTTGTGTCCTGTCTCTCCTAGAGGTTCTGGTCACAGAGTCAGTGGACCACACAAATGAGGCAGAGCTCAAAGTGCCAGGAAGCCCTGTCTCCTGAAATGACAGCCTGCTGGAGAGTTAAAAACATCACAGAAGAAAAGAAAGCAGATAAGAAAATAAATGCTCAGCAGAGATTATAGGTCAAAACCCCGTGATGTTAAAATATGATTCTAGAGTCTCCTCCCTAAAGCTCCAACAATACTCTAACTGGGAAGGTGACCACACCCACCAACACCTGCCATAGCTAGTCACAACGCCTCTGTGCATCCCAAAATATACAGCTCCATTAATGAAACCAAAGTTGGTTCCACCATGGAACATATATGCGTTGAAGGAGATCTCACGGTTGATAAGTTCAGACACAGTTTGTTCAACTTCTGTAAAGGGGGAAGTGAAAAACATACAGAAAATTAGTAATTAAAGAAAGAAAGTTGTCTTGGGTAAAAACTATTATCTCCAAACACAATCAGTTAATTATTTTTTCATCAAACCTCCACTAAAATTCCAACCAGGAAGTGATAGAATCAGTCAGAACTAATTTAAGAAACTAAATCCTGCCAGGACCAAGAGCAGTTTTGAAAATTTTTACCCCACAGCACTGACATAATTTGACTCTAATTTACAGAAGTATCAAAAACCCTTAAGGTACATAAGTACCTACTTTTTATTCTTTTCATTTTTTAATTTTACAAAAAATTATTGTGCCTTCATTCCCACCCTCTAGGATAGTGTCTCTGGAGGCACTGAATAGAAACACAGTAATATTGCACATTCGTTTGTTTTAGAGTACCTGCTGAATGTGGACCTATATATTGATTTGCTTTCTAATGATCTGCTGATTCCACTAAATTATAGGCTTATTGCAGGGTAGAAATCATGTGATTTTTATTCAACAATGTATCTTCAGAGGCTGGATAAGTGTTCATACATGGTAGAAGTTCAATGATTTTATGTGACTAAATGAGCAGGTTAACCCTTTAAGTCCCATCTTCCCATATGTGAGACACATATAAAAACTTAAATTGAGCAAGAAATATAACATATATGGTAACTTTTGAAGAAAATAATGTATTTTAGAGCTCTATTCTTTAGAGAAAAATAGTAGGTGATTGATTATAGCACTTAAAAACATAAATATATTTTTATAATTTTCACATGGAAATATATATATATATATACATAAACTTGGATAGGTAGCATATAGACATGATCAGTAGAAACATGAAATTAAGGGGATAATTCTATAAACTGAGTCTATACAAAAACCCAAAGACTTTCTTTCAAAAAGCAATTTACCCAAAATGTAATTTACCTAAGGCCATTTTGGCTCTACTCTGGTTTAAGTCAATAGGATGTTATATCCTTTGACAAACAACCTGTTTTCCTTAGGGCTATTCTCTGGACTGAGGAATTTAAGATCCTCCCTGCTGGTAAGAATGCAAATTACCTTGGCCAGGCGGGTATGTGACCTTTATACAGACCAAAGATTCCAAGACCCAGAAAAAAAGAATAATTTAAAAGAAAAGCCCATGACCACAGAATCTGTAAGAACAAGTGCCAGTTAGAACTGGTCAGCATAGGCCAAGGAAACCAAAAGTTGCCTTTAGATCTTTAGCAGGTCATTATTCCTGCCACCTTCCCCACCCCCCACCCCACAAGTGGGTCTTGCTTAGGTACCTATGGGTAAAAACATGTGCTCTGGGGACTTAAAAATCTGATACTATTCTACTGTCAAAAATTGAGAGGTGGTGACTGGGTGGGACAATTCAGAAACTTTCCAAAGACTCGATAAAACTGGGGAACAAAGTGGGCACAACATCACTCTCTCATTTTAGTAGAGACAACCCACCTCTCTTTCCCTCCCTCTAGAGAATGATTTCTTTCCTAATTAATTCTGCTATATTTTTATTACATTTCATATCTTGCCTGAAATTTTCCCCTACAAGAACACAAGAGCCAAGAAACACATTGCAGCCTCCAGATTCCCAATACCACCTCTGGTAACAATTCTAGATTAGCAGAGAATAATATCATTATCCATGACTCAAGGCCATCTGAACTTGGAGTTGAAAACTGCAAAACACTTACCATCCGCACTTTTAACATGATGTTTCCTTCCCCAACTGTCAAACCAGCCAGTCCAATATTCCATAACCAGAATGGGCTTATTTCTCTAGGAACAAACCAAGGCAAATATTAAGTCTGATAAAAAACAAGAATGGCCAAAAAACCTGAATACAATAGATGAGAACTTGAGGATCTTGTGTTTACACTTTTTTCCCAAGTCAGAGCTCCCTTTGTGATCCAAACTTCATTACCCCTTACACATTATACTTTCATCCTCCACAGCTATACATCCTCCACTCTTCCTAAGTGCCCAGGGTCTCTTGGCTTCCTCTAGTTTCATGTGCCTCCCTGCTGTTCCTAGGTAGCATCAGTAAAGTCAACCTGGTCTTATGCAAGGCTGGTATTCAGAGAATTTATTTTAGATACACAAGGATCTGAATGCAATTACTGACTGTCCGAAACTGAGGCTTAGAGATCACACAGCTCTTAGAGACACCATTTAACTCTGGCTCTAACCTTAACCACCAGAACTAAATTATCCTGTCTGCATTTTCACTTTCTCTTTGCCCTTATTTCAATCCATACCACTCTTGGGTGGAAGTGTCCATTGTTTTTATGCTCATCCTCATACTTTTGGTGTGTGTGTGTTTGGCATAGGGATTTAACCCAGGGATACTCTACCACTGAGCTATATCCTAAACCTTTTTATTCTTTACTTTGAGACAGAGTCTTGCTAAATTGTTGAGCCTCAAGCTCACAAGCCTCCTACCTCAACCTCTTAAGTAGCTGGGATTATAGGCCTGTGCCATAGTTCTCTTTATTACTTAATTTCTAATAGTTTATATTTTGTATGTTTATACCAACAAACAATTCAGTATACGAGAATTCATAAATGAGCTGAGCATAACGGATCACATATGTAATCCTCGGTACTCTGGAAGGCTGAGGCAGGAGGATTGCAAGTTGAGATCAGCCTTTGCAAGCAATACCTATCACAATTTTTTTTTAAAGGGCTAGGAATGTAGCTCTGCGTTAGAGCATTTACTTAGCATCCTCAATATCCTGGGTCCAAACCCCAGTATTGAATAAATAAATAAATAAATATAAAAAGGAATTCATAAATGTTTGCACATCTCTATGGATTATACTCTTTATTTATGTAAAATAATTACCATAATACAATAGTAATTATTGAACTTTTACTATGTGGTGCACACTGACTAAAGTAATTTATTTCTTTTCTCCTGTGTAATAACCCCCAAAAGGAGATGTGTTCAGTCCCCATTTTACAAATAAAGAAATTGAGGTTAATTAACCCGTCAAAGCTCACTCAACTGGAATTTGAATTTGCCAGTTCAACTTCAGAAACATTCTCTTACCCCTTACACTAAGCTGCCTATAGATTGCAAATGATTGGCTACCCAAAACTAGAAGAAAACACACTAAAATAATACATTCCTCAAAACTTCTGTTTTTGTGTCAGAACACAATCAAGACTATATATGATAAGTACACAGCTAATGTTATACTGAACAGCAAAATTTGCAAGTGTGTCATCTAAGATCCTAGAAAAGAAAGAGACGTCTACCTTCACTATTTGTATTAAACACTATACTGACTTAGAGCAATTTGGCAACATATAGAAATAAAGGATATTTCAGATGGGATGGAGGAAGTCAGATTATTCCTGTTTGCTGACAATATAATTTTACATCTATATAAACCACATGAAAACTGGTAAAGCAGTTAAAAATTTACTAAAGTTGACCCAAAATTAATATACAAAAATTAGTACCACTTATACACAATAACAAAATGGCTGACAAAAGATCAAGAAAGCAAATCCAGTCATAATTGCTACAAAAGAAACAATAAAATAAAAATACTTTGAAATAAATTTAATGGAGGGAGTGAATAAACTCTATAATGAAAATTATAAAACACTGATGAAAGACATTGAAGAAGTCACATAGAAATGAACAGATCCCATGTTCATGAATTAGAAGAATTAGTAGTTAAGATGTCCACGTTATACAAAACAACCTACAGATTCCATCAAATTCCCAGAAAGATATTAATGACATTCTTCACATGAAGAAATCTTAATATCCATATGGGACTACAAAAGACCTTTTACTAGTATAAAAGCAATATTGAGCCAAAGAACAAAATTGGAGGAAGCACAATACCTGGCTTTGAAACATACCACAAAACTATGATAACCAGTTAACAAGCATAGGGACTAAAACACTGACACTGTTCCATATGGAACATAAAAGAGGAGGCATAAATAAATTCACATATCTACAACCAACTGACCTTCAATAAATTGCCACAAACACATATTTAGAAAGGATAGTCTTTCAATAAATGATGCTGAGAAAACTGGATATTCAATATGCAAAAGAATGAAATTAGACTCCTCTGTCTTCACCATATGCAAAACTCAACTGGCAACACCCCAAAAACTTAGGAACTGAAATTATAAAACTATTAAAAAAAATACCCAGGGAAACACTTCAAGAAACCAGTGTAGGCAAGGACATTTTAAAAATAAATCCTCAAAAGCACAGGCAAGAAAATCAAAATAGACAAATGAAATTTTATCAAATTGAGAAGCTTTTGCATAGCAATGGAAACAATCAATACCTGCCAAATGAGATAAAATATTTTCAAACTCATCCAACAAGGATCTAATTTCCAGAATATATAAAAAATTCACAACTCAAAAGTGATACAAAAATAAACAAATAAATAATTCTATTAAAAACTGGGCATAAATAAATATCTAAATAGACATTTCTCAAGATATACTAATAGTAAACAAGTATATGAAAAATATTGAATATCACTAAATACCAGAGAAATGCAAATCAAAACTATAATGACATAGCATATTACCATAGTTAGAATGACTATTCAAAATGATCAAAAAAAAAAAAAAAAAAAAAAAAATGGCTGGGGATGTGGTGCAGTGGTTAAACACTGCTTGGTTCAATCTTTAGTCCATGATCAAAAAAAAAAAAAAAAAAAAAAAAAGAACAAGTACTAGTGAGGATGAAGACAAAGAGGAATTCATACACAATGTTAGCAGGAATGTAAATTAGTAAAACAGTATGGAAGTTCCGGCATGGGTGGAATTGGATCTATCATATCAAGTGAAAAGCCAGACACAGAAAGAAATACCACATCTTCTCACTAGTTTGTGGAAACTAGAAAGTGGATCTCATAGAAGAACAGAATAGAATAGAGGACACTAGAGACTGGGATGGCAGGGAGAAAGGAAGATGGAAAGGAATGGGCACCAAAACACAGAGGGGAGGAATTAGTTCTGGTTTTTCTTTGGCACAGTGTAGTAACTATTGGTTATGACAACCTATAATATATTTCAAAATAACTAGAAGAGTACAAAATTTCTAAAACCTAAACATGGTTAACATTCCAGAAGATAAAAGTTCTTATTGCTCTGATTTGTTCATTACATATTATACACATGCATTGAATTATCATAATAAATCTCATTAAAATGTACAAATAATATGTCTCAATTTTAAAAATGCCTTATTGCTAAAAATTGTTGATCTCAAAGAATAGAATAGTGATTTTTAGAGGTTAGGAAAAGTAGGGCATAAGGAGCTAGGAGAAGGCTGAATAACAGGTACCAAAATCCAGTTAGATAAGAAGAATGAGTTCTAATGTTCCGTAGCATGGTAGGTTTAATGCAGTTTACAATATTCCTTTATGAAAACTACAAGACAGGAGTTTGAATTCCCCAAACACAAAGAAATGATAAGGAGATGAAACTCGAATTATTCTGATTTGATGATTAACCTTTGTTATGGAGAACTGTGTGAAAATTGATGAGAAAAGGAAATTTGATTGGTTCTTTAATTGCAAGAATGACTACTTGTGGAGAAGAGACTAGTACTGGAGAGAGGGCCCTCAAGCCAATGCTATGGGAGACCAATGAGCAGAAATGGTAGTGAGGACTTCTTACCTCAGGGCCAGAAGAGTGGACAGGGGATAGAAAGGAGGAGAGGGTAACATCATACCAGGTCTTGCAGGCCACCATACGGGAATGGAGAAAGGAAAATCAGGGAAGCCAATTATGCAGGGACCACAACCATGCTTGGTTATGACAAACCACCCTAGTGGTACTGAGAAAGGACTTGGAGGCATGAACTGTGCTCTGTCTATCTAAGTAACTATCACAGGAGGTTACCTACTCTGGGAGGATAGGACCTGCTTACTCTGTGTTTATTAAATATTTGCATAAAATTCTCACTCTGTTCCATAATTTGTACTGGTTAGCTGAAAAAGCCTAAACCCACGAAAAAAAATCATGTGTTCTTCATAAGAAGTACATATAGCCCATTTCCATGATCTTTACTCATATAAGAAAGAGAATATCAGCTCCCACTGATCCTTACTTAGGTGTTTCCTGGTATAAGCCCCTCATCCTTCTCAGAGTCATCTCCATGAACATGTTCTATGAACAGAAGTGATACAAGCATGGTTTCTTCCTCGTTCCCTACCCTGGAAGGCAAACATGCTCCCAACATGGCTTTGAATGCTACCAGTGCCCAGAGTAAAGACAGGCAGTCTTCTTATCAAACCCCCTTGATCACTGATCACCAGTTGCACAGGTTCAAGAGGTTATAGCAAGAGAAAGGGTTAAATTCATCTATAGGCTGTCTTACCTGCATTTGACGAAACCTAGAAAAGAACTTCTCCTTAAACGAATCCATATTGACAGTGGTCAGTGCTGTAGAGAGAAGAGATAGACCACTGAGGCATTGTGACAAGAGCCCTGAGGGAAGGGATGGAGGTTCACCTTGCACATGGCAAGAGTCACACTGAGTAGAAAGGATTATGAGACATTGCTGTAGTTCACTTTGCAAATCACAAAGTGCTATCATGACCATTGGTAATGATAAACATCATTACAGAGAAGAACAGTTAAACTTAGCCACATTTGTGTGAAGACACAGACCAAGGTTAAAAACTTGATCTAAAAACTGATCGCAGCTTATCTGGTCTCAGGCTCAGCATACTTTCCAGGGCACCATAATAAAGTGGGAAGAGCCACTAAAAAGAAGATAGCAGTTCACAACAGCTGCAAGTCTGCTTTAAAGATCATCTGACAGATGTTCCCTGAACCTACCTACTTGCTCATAAATTGGCCATTCCCCTCACTATTGTAACCTTGTGATTTTGCTTTGAATTGTCCTGGTAGTTCATTTTCTGGGATCTGCTAAGTTTCTAAACTAAACCTGAAGATATAGACTCTCAGAACTGGAACTTTTGTCTATGCCAGGTTCCATACACACCCATCCTTTGGTTCCCCACCAATTTTACATCTTGATGGGGATGTCCTGGATGCTGAGTCATATCAACCCAGATTCCTAGCACAGAAGTCACGAAAAATAGCAAAGTGCCCTCATGATGAGGAATTTCATTACTGCTGTTTAAAAGAAGCCACATTTGTAATCAAATCTCTGGGATCAGTCTCAATGGATATGGGAAAAAAGAGGCACCAAAGATACACTTGGTTCTTTCTGAGGCTAGTTGACAATTTACACTGGCTGTTAAGCATCTCTGAGTTCTACCTTGAAATAACTCTAAATTTGTACCTCCTTCAACAGAACCTTGCTCAATTTCCTTCTCGTTATCAGAGGTCAAGAGCAGCTCAACAATCCCTCTTTTCAGCAAGGCCTGTTGAGACAAAAATGAACAAAATGAACCCACTTCCTGCACTCCTATGGTTAGGATATATAAGGAAATTAGGAAATAAAGGCAATTGTACTCAAATGGGAAGAGTATGACCTACAAAAAAGTGCCATCTTTTGGATCTAGAGTGTCCCCCAAAGGCTATATGTAAAGTCTTGGTCCACAGAAGAAGCAATTGAGAGATGGTGAGAAATTTAATAGGCAGGGCTTAATGAGAGATTTTTACAACACTGGGATTGCAGCCCCCAAAGAAATTGTGAGATGAGTGTTTTTTTTCTGGCATACACTCTACTATGATGTGCTGCCTGAAAACAGGTCCAATAGCAATGGGGTCAACAAATCATGAACTAAAACCTCCAAAACTATGAGCCAAAATAAACCCTTTTTGGCTTGTAAGTTGATTATCTCAAGTATTCATTCATTTACAGTAACAGAAAGCTGACAAATTTTAAAGTATTTTGACTTCATAAGGATTATATACTTTCTTTAATATGTGGACGCTAACAAGGAAAAGGAAAAGAAAGATGAGGATGGATCTTATAAAAATCAAAGGGAGATCAATAGAGGAAAGTCACCAAGCTGTGGGGCATAGGGAAAAGGGGGGAAAGTACTGGGGAGTGATACTAGCCAAATTATATTATTATAACTGGATATTGTGTGCATGTACAAATATGTAATGACAAATTCCATCAGTACCACTATAATACACCAATAAAAATGTAAAAAAAAAAGTGTTTAACTTCAGAGTCTATCTGCAACTTAGGAAATGTAATTATTCACAGATCCTATTTTTGTCTGCTTTTCTGTTGCTGTGGCCAAAAAAATCTGACAAGAACAATTTAGAAAAGAAAAAATTATTTTGGCTTATAGTTTCAGAGGTTCAGTCCATGGTAAGCCAACTCCATAGCTCTGGGTCTGAGATAAGGTAGAAGAAGTCCTCCCCTCCTCTCCTCCCCTTCCCAGGCTAGCAAACAATTCCTATCATCTCCAGGCCATTCACACAATGTCCCTGTGTGGACAGAGATAACCAGGAAGAACTAGTCTGGATGGGTCAGCTTACATCATGTGGCCCTACATCCTGTTTGGCACCCTGAGGACAGAGTCCAATTTAGAGTGACCCTTATCAGCTTCTTGAATGTAGGAATCCAGGGATAGGAGGGGCCTGAGGCAACCGAAAAGACACCAGACAGGACTTCAGTTCATCACTGCCTGAGAAATCTACCCATGGAGGAGCAAAAAGAACAGAACAAGGGCCAGAAAACTGCAAGTTGATAGCCATTATCACCAAGTTCTTGAAATTTGATTTACTATGAATGTAAGTTTACCAGCCTCCAGCTTTCAAGAGGGTCATAGAGATTGTAAACAGAAAGGAATTACCTTCAAACCATGGTGACTGGTTTCATCACAAAGTTATTTAAGTTCATCTTGATTGCCTTAAGAATACTGAATATTCACAGTATTAAGTTCAGAACCTGAACTTAACATGTGCTCATAATGGACAGAGCCTAGCAGTGACCCATGCAACAGGGAATAAGACTTGCATGCTGGAAAAGACACAGATTGAGCAAGGAGACAAGTAATATGGAGATAACCAAGTGTCTTACCTCCTTTACATAAGACATGTAGTCTTTGTCCTTATTAAATGAACCGTATTCATTCTCTACTTGCACTGCAATGACAGGGCCTCCACGGTGGTACTAGGAGACAAGTTGAAAAGTGAGGCTACTGGGGCAAAAGCCTGGAGTCTGGTTTGCTGCTGATGACCACTCAGCTGATCAGCATGTTGGGAGCCAGGATTCTTTGCATGTGGCTCTCTCCTTCCCAGAGCTTAAGTTGGGATATTTCAGGAGTCCTACCTGCCCTAGTGCTTTGGAGATGAGCAAGCCATGGTTACCCTCTATTTACCATATTAATATGCTACTTGAATATTAACTGTCAAATCTACATCACCTATTTCTATATATACCACATCTATTTTCCTATCTGATATGAGAAAGGCATCCCTCCTTCTTCCTGTCCTAACAGGCCTTCTTACAAAAGAAGACCCCTCCCACTAGACTCAGAGTTCACCCCTAAAGACAGGGTTCCTTCCCCTCAGGATTGCCATCTCTTCTAATGCTTTATGTGGTGCATCCCACTCCCATCTACCACCTGCTTTGGAATGTTGCTTTATGGCATAACTCCCTCTCCCTTGTGACCTCCCACTTTTACTTACAAACTAATTGACCTCAATCATCATAGAAACCTGTTTAGGACCTCCACATCAGATAGATAGAGAGGGTATAGGAATGGTCCCCTCCAGCCAGTTCTCTCACTTTTTGCTCTTTAAGAGCCACACATCCTGAAAGGGTCCCTAGATGCCAACACTCACCTTCTCTGCTTCTTAATTTTAGCTCAGTCCTCAAACCACCCCAATAAAGCTTTTAGCCCATTATGTCACCTAAATATTGACCTAGTCATGTTTTCAAAGCACTTTTCAGGATTTTACTATTTACTGTCTTTCCAAACTCAGCTTCATTTTCTTCTTTTTAATCTTGCCCACACTGAAAACAAAGCAAGCTCTGGAGAAAAAACATATAATGTCTTCACTCCCAGTGAAAAGGAACATTGTAGTCTCTATTGCCCATACAGTAAATTAAGACAAGAGGATGCTGCTCCTAGTGGGCACAAGGGAGAATGAACATACTTGGTAGGTTCCTTGATGGACTGCTTTGGCCTTGTTCCCTCCTCACACTGCCCCAAACAGTTATAGTTCTTCATATTCCTCATTCTATTCCTGCCATCCATACACTATGGGGTCTCAGGACCATTGTCCTGGCCTGGCTGATGGCTTTCATTTTGCAGGTCACTATTCAAATATAAATTGTTCAGGAAAACATGCTCTGAACCTCCCTTTTTCAGAAAGACCTTGCTAGTACGCCCTGCCTGTTAGGGGGTTCCTGTGCCTCCTTCACATCGCCACTATAATACTTATTGTGTCGCCCTTTTGTCTTGTTTTAGGACTGTAATCTCCAAAGGGCAGGGACAATGTCTTCCCACTGTGGACTAAAACCATGGCTCCTGCTCAGGACCTGGCAACCTCCCAAAAAACCACAGGGTGCCTTGCTGCTCAGTACTGAAGAGGCATAAATATTCTGAACTAAGAAATACAGAACAATTATTCTCATTATCGAATAGTACCTTCTCCCCAGCTGAAACCATGAGATTTCTAAAAATTCCATTGTAAGAGAATCCACCTTAACTTTATAAAATTAAAAAAAAAACTTTAAAAAAGTCATAAGTAAATCAGTAAATGCACTCAAGAAGCTATTGATATAATAATTAAAATAATGAAACCAATCAATTAAATACCACAATTTTAAAATACAAACAATTAAGCAATGTAAAGCCTTAGGCATTTCATTTTAGAATTCATTTAAGAATTCCTTGCTTCCCATCAATTTCCTAGTAGGATTTTCTACTCTCATAATTTCAATGGGATATTTATCCCAAATTTGTTCTGCTTGATGAATACATACAAACACTAAGTGGCATTGTACTTGTACTCCCATCCAAATAGTCAAAGGCTTTCTAATTTGAAGACAAAGATTGTCACTGATCTTCCCTAGATTGCAGCAATGAAACCATCAGAAACATGTGAAAACCATCACAAACAGGCCTTCTTACAAAAGAAGACCCCTACCACTAGAGTCAGAGTTCACCCCTAAAGACAGGGTTCCTTCCCCTCAGGATTGCCATCTCTCCTAATGCTTTATTGCAGAAATCTCATTCCCAGTGTACCTGTCTTATTCCTTTCCTTTTTAAACTTTTGACTCTTCTCTCCATAAATATCTTATTCAGAATAACTCACAATCCATGATTCAGAATTAATTACATAGGGCTGGATCTATAGCCCTGTCTTGTTTCCCCCAAACAGAAGAGTCTAATATAATTCAGTCTACTACCTGAGAATCCTGGTGGTTATACCATCTTGGGTTACATCAAAAGATGATCTCTTAAACTAAGATTTATAGTTATTCACATCTTCTGAAAATGCAGATGTATTTTACTTATGAAACCACAAAAATCAAACAATTGCTGTACTGCAGACTGCACAGTATACAGCACTTTTTTTGTCATGGACTAGTCTCTGAGCTATAAATTAACGTTCTGAGAATGAGCATTTCTTGCTGGTGCATCAGGACAAGGTACCACATGTTGAAGGAAAAATGCCATTGTTTTTCTCACTTCTGTAACTAAATCAAACTTGAATGCTGGCAATAGTAGCTATATTATACAAATACAAAACAATATCTAAACCAATTTATTTATTATCATATAAACTGGGAAGATTATAATATCCATGAGTAGGGCACTAACTAAATGAATTATGGCATATTCTGCTATGGAGTATTATAGAGCTATTTAAAATAAAGACATAGGCTAGGGTTGGACCCTTGTCTAGCATATGTGAGGCCCTAGGTTCAATTCCCAACACTACAAAAGCGGGAAAAAAAAAAAAAGAATGACAGATTTCAAAAACATTATTTTAGTCAGCCAAGGTGGTTCATACTTGCAATACCAGCTACTCAGGAGGGTAAGGCAACAAGATCACAAATTGAGGCTAGCCTGGATAACTTAGAAAGACCTTCTTTCAAAATGAAATGAAAATACTATGGATGCAGTTCAGTAGTAGAGCACTAGCCTTGCTTGTGGTTTGATCCCCAGTATGGGAGTGGGAGGCAGGGGAGGTAATTTAAGTGATAAAGGAAAACTATCCACTGGAAACTATATTTTTATGTAAAGCAAAGGATATACATAGACACATCTCTGTATATGTGCATTTTTTTTTCTGCATGCATTGAAAATCTCTGGAAAAATACTAAATGGCTTTTGAACATGTTGGAGGGGGAGAATTTTATTTATAATATTTATTTTGTACCCTTTGAGGATTTTTTACCAACTGTTTATACTGACAATTGCAAACAAAAGAGTAGAAATAGGAAATTCAGATCAGCAAGCTTAGTGAATATTGAGCTCACAGATACAACTATGACAATCCTTTTTGGGGTCCCTGTCTTCTGTCATGGAGGTCTTTTTGGAAGCTCTGGACAAAGCCACAAAGACTGATAAACCCAGTCTGATTCCCTCTTAAAATTGGGAGCCATCTCACCACAAAGGCATAAAAAGCTAATTTTGGCTTTACTATAAATTACTGAAAATTCTGAACTTACTTGGAATGCCTGCCATGCCTTGAACTCACCCATGCCTGGCTTTCCCTGACCAGATAACAACCCTCTCTGAGGCTCTAATGACCTTCAAAAATTCTGATGTCAGGGCCAGCAAAAATATAAACTAGCCTTTGTGTTATGCTCCTCAGAGTTTTGTTATCTGTAACTCCCCTTTGTGTAACTTTCTAGGCTATAAAGCTGCTCTTCTAAAAAGCTTCGAGGCTGTGTTTGGCTCTGGCGGTTTTTGTTGGGAGAGGAAGCCCAGCCTGTTGAAATAATAAGCTTGCTTTAATTTGATTTTAATTGGAGTCAGTGGTCTTTTCTTTACATCCTGGTCTAACAAGACAAGTCAAAATTTCTATGCTTGACATGAGGGTACAAAAGTCAAAGTTATAAGAAAGTCACCTGTATTTCTCATAGAGGCTGGACATGACCTATTTGGCTGGTGACTGAGCCAAAACACTCTTTCCCCAAAGTCAGTGTCAGAAGTAAAGGTCAGGGGCTTTACCTGGAGAGGAATCACTCTGGGAATCAGGTGATCAAAATACTTATCAACTGCTTCAACAAAGCCTTTGTCTGTTGTTCTCAGTTTCATGTTGGGGTCTTGCAGAAGCCAGCTGGGGACAGGAAGGAACAGGTTAGTATGAGACAGGAAGGTCAGAGGAATCTGTGAACTTTTCACACCATGCGCCAGATTTGTAAGGATGAGAAGGAAACACACTACACACTTCCCAAGGCACTCTAGACCTTGGAAGTGCTTTGTCCTCCATTTCATCAGACGAAGGGACTGAGCCTAATCAGACTTCTACACCCACATCCTATGAGTTTGATTGTTTTAAAGAATTCCTTGAATCTTCTCTATTCTATTTCAGTACGCTGAGAACATTGAGCACAGCATCTGCTCCTCAGGCATAAGGTCACAGCTGAGATCTTCTAGTGGCACCCCCTCCTCCACAAAAAATCTTAACTAAGCTTCTCCAGAAATCTTCACCTTAATTAATTATAGGACTATCAACATAAAGAGTCTTTACAAAAGAGTTCAATGTACGTAAACTTATTTTCCTGTTGCTCTATTACTTGGCCACTGGGCTAGAAGAAATCAGCACTCCAGGTGCTGACACCCCTTTACTAGTTTTTCACAAACATTTATCCAGTATAGATAGTTTGTAGAAATGTGTTTTCAAATGCAAACTGTGATAATAAAAAGACAAATAGTTTAACAAGGCCTCTGGCCTTGAGCTAGATCTTCACAGAGAAGTCTACATTTCTAAGAGAAGTTACCAGTTGGGCTCTATGGTAACAGCTGTCAGGGGAAGGAAAGAAAGGGGAGAAGAAACTCTCCCCTTCTCAGGAGCTGTCCTTGAAGGGTTAACTTGCCCCAAAACAGTGAACGAAAAAATCTGCTTTTATGTGAACTTCTGCAAACTGTGAACTTCTAAGCCCCTCCCCTCACACACTGGGTATAAAATTCTGAAACTACCTGAACTCAGGGTTCAGGGGATTAATTGATTACAGTAGAAGCTATATCCTCTGAACCTGGCTGCAGCCAAATAAAACTATTTCCTGCTATCTTCAGTGCCTTGCCTCATCTGTCCCCTACAACAACTTGATACTTGAAGAACACAATACAACCATGAAGCCAGGAAAACCCCACTACAGGTTACAGAAGATAGGGCCAGCCTACCATCTGACCTATAATGGGAGTAATTGTTTCCCTGAAATTCCCACTTACTTTAATGATTTTCATATGTCAAACTATCCTTACAAAAATTACATAATCATCTCAATAAATGCAAAAACAGTCTTCCACAAAATTTAGCTCTCATTCATAATAAAAACACTGAAGAAACTAGGGATAAAAGGAATTTACCTCAACATCATAAAAGCTATATATGGCAAACTCAAAGCTAACATAACAATGCATAGGGAAAAACTGAAAGCATTATCCCTAAAATCGGGCACAGTAGAAGGATGTCCTCTCTCCTATTCAACATAGTAATAAAATTTTAGCCAGAGCAATTAAGCAAGAGAATAAAATAAAAGGAACAAAAATAGGAAAGGAAGAAGTCAAATTTTCACTGTTTACTGATGACATAATCCTATATTTCTAAGGTTCAAAACCTCCATGTTATGGTTTAGATATGAGATATCCCCCAAAAGCTCAAGTGGAAGACAGAGCAAGAATGTTCAATGGCCTTTTTCACAGGACAAGAAAAAAACATTCTTAATATTCATATAGAAGAATAAAAGACCCAAATAGCAAAAGTAATTCTAAGTATTAAAAAAGCAATATTGAAGGCATTATATCTGATTTTAAATTATTCTACAGAGCTATACTCACAAAAGCAGTATAATACTGGCCAAAAAAAAAAAAAAGACCAATGGAATAGAAGACATACATACAAACCCATGCAGATATAGTCATCTGATAATAGCCAAAGATGCCCAAAATATATCATGGAAAAAAGACAGCCTTTTAAACAAATGGCATAGGAAAAACTGGATATCCATATGTAAGGAGAATGAAAATAGTTCCAGTGTTTCACCCTACACAAAAGTTAATCAAAATGGATCAAAGGGGTTACGAATTATACCAGAAATCTTGCAACTGCTAGAAGAAAACATAGGGTAAACATTCCATCATATAGGTGCAGGCACCAACTTCCTCAACAAGATCCCTACAGTTCAAGAAGTAAAACCAAGAATCAACAAGTGAGATGCCATAAATTCAAAAGATTCTGCACAGCAAAAAAAAAAAAAAATTATTAAGAGCGTAAAGTTATAGCAGCCTACAAAATGGGGGAAAAATCTTTGCCAACTACTCCTCAGACAGGGGATTAATATCCAGAATAGGTAAAGAACTCAAAAACACTCAATGCCAAAAAAGCAAATAACCCAACCAATAATTTAGGCAAAAGAAGTAAACAGACATTCCTCAAAAGAAGAAACACAAACGGTTAACAATTATATGAAAAAAATGTTCAACATCTTTAGCAACAGGGCAAATACATATCAAAATTAAAACTGAGATTTCATCTTATTCCAGTTAGAATGGTAGTCATCAAGATTACAAACAATAATATACATTGGCGAGGCTATACACTTATAAGGAGTATCTCATGAAAATAGAAATGAGACAAATAGAATAAAGAGAGACTGGGGAAGGGAAGAGGAGAGGAAAAGGGAGATATTAAAGAATAAAACTGACCTAATGATGAATACGTAACAATGAATACAGAGCAATGAATTCTGTTATGTATAACTACAGTACACCCATAGAAAGAAAAGAAGGCTGCTTCTCCTGCATTGAAAGGAAGGTATTCATCTGGGATAAAACAAAGCCTTTATCTCACTTGGGGAATTACTAACTGATCAATCAAAGACAGATCCAAGATGGGACTGGGACCTGTCAGTTCAGAGGGATTACAGAAGAGGATTCCTGGATTCTTACTCTGAGACTGAGCAATCTGGGCAGAGAGTCAGCATCTCAGCAATAAAAGCCAAGAAAATAGAAAAGGCTGATAAATAGGCTGAGTTCTTTATGGTTGGAGAAGGTGGCCTGACCTCAACAAAAGAGAGTAAGATCTGAGTTTGCCAGAAGAAGCTAAGTGGTTGTCAGAACTTTCTCTGTTCTTTCTGGTCTCTTCCCTCCCATCCAATAAGAAGAACAGAGGTGGCCTCAGCTCCTCCTCTGTGGGATTAGAATCCCAAGAACTGCTGCTCCCTCTTACCTCTTATTGTCCATTACCAGGACCCATATCTGCTTTACCTGTGAAATGGGATGACAGTAGTGCCCACAACTCCCCCACACCACTGCAGGCTTCACAGGACAGGATATGAAGTACATGGCACAGTGAAAAATTAAAAAAAAAAACAAAACAAAACACTTGCTCGGTCAATAAAGGTGAATTTCATTATCATCTGACTGAAGTGTTATTTTTCATGAATTAAAACATATTATTAAATTATAGCTCTTGGACTTAGAGTCCTGCTCACCTGGGCAAGCCCCCAAGGTCAACCTCTGCACAGATGTAGGGTCCTGGACGCAGAATCACCCACAGCCCAATCTTTGCAGCCAACAGGACAAAGGCTCTAGGAAGGTAAACAAAGTCAGATCCTCTCATGGCAGTGCAGAGAGGAGGCTGCCTGGGTAGAAGCCCATACACATAACAAGTTGCCCACTCTTCCCCTTGTTCTCAACTAGGGACACTGGAGTGAGAAAGAGTTAGCCCCGTTCAGCCCAGCAAAGCAGGAAATTAGTCCACCAGGTGGGAGGCCAGAGGCCCTGGGAGCTGGGTTCGCATTAGCTGTGGGCATCAGGACCATCTACCCAGCCTCATGGGATCTAAGAAAAAATGTCATCCTATATGGTACAGAGGGTCTGTCTCCAATAATGGACATGATGATCGAAAGGACAGCCAGCTCCCAGACGAAGTTGCTAAACACCATTGCAGAGTTGGGCAGCACCAGGGGTCTTGGCCCCTCTTAGCTGCAGTGGAGAAGTGGGACTAGATCCCAATAGCCACAAGTCCCTGGGTAATAGTCATTTCTGGGGAGCATTTGAGCCCTGGGTGCTGAGCCTCTCACAGCATCCTGAGACCAGGGGTCCAGACCTCAGGACCTCTTTTGTTCTCAAAGATAAGCGAAGATACCCCTAGAGTTCCAAATCAACCCCAAGTAGACATGTCTCTACTTCCTGCCCCAAGCCAGGTCACAGAAACAGTAGCAATACATACTCCATGTCCAGGTTCCCAGAGAAGTAGAATTGGCCTCTTTCTGGCTCATGCAAGTTCCATGGAATGTAGCTGGGAAAGGAATAGGAAAGTGCAATAAGAATCTTATTTATATTTTCCAGTTGTTACATCATCCCCAAACGAAGTCAAACCCTGCAATAGTTCAGTGAGTTTAAGTTTCTGATGGAAAATAACCTCTATCACAAGAACAATGACTATCTTCAACAATTCCTTTCTCTATTGCTCAATTGTGGTCCAAGGTATCAATTATCCTTGGATTCTAGGTTCCTTAGATTTACATATAATTTCACTTACCACTCCATTCTTTATAATACCCATTAAAAATATAAAGAAAAAGAAAAAACACAACAAAAATGTGCATATCTGCCTGATATAGTCTTGCTAAGAATTAAACAAAGTAAGAAGATATGAAGAGTTTCTATGAGGACAAGGGAAATGCAATTCAGTAGGGTTCAGTCTTTAGACCTCAGCAAGAAGATCCTCTGCCAAGGTCCTTCCTCAGAGGGCTGCCTGCAGAGTCAAAGGACATGTGTAAAATTTGTATTAACTCTGTTTTTTATATGCATATAGCTCTATTGTGAGAATAGAATAAAAACTGCAAAAAGCTACTTACAAGTGATTTAAGGAAAATTGCTGAAAAACTGAAAGATGAAGAAAGATGTATAAGGTAAAATTACACTAATAAAACTGATAGTATGCAAATGGTTTTAAGGCAATAGTGGCAGACAGATAAGGTGCGTGGCCTTACATAAAAATAATTCCATCCACAAAATGTGCTATTCAACCTTCTATGCCCTTAATGAAGTAGCCTCTACTAAAGGAGAAGCTGACTGAATTAGAGAGGAAATGGATAAGTTGATTTCACAGTCATAGTGAAAGGATTAAAATACCTCTCTAAGAAATAAAGAAAATATGTAGAAAAATTATAAGAATATTGATTTCAACAACATGATTAAAATGTGGAATTTATAAATATATTTTAAAACCTAATAGTCAACAGATTCCAAATTCCAGAAGTGTATGTCACATAGTTTATGATCCCAAGACAAAGGTAACTAAATTATAAAAATGACAGTTTAAAATAATAATAAAAAGTATGACAAACAAATAAAACAGAAAGCATGGCTGGGGATATAGCTCAGTTGGTAATGTGCTTGTCTTGCATGCACAAGTCTCTGGGTTCAATCCCTAGTACCACAATGAAAAAAAAAAAAAAAAGCAGAAAGCACATTCCCAAATTGTTTATGGGTCAAGGAGGGAAATTCAACAAAACTTATGAATATTTTAACTAAATGATTTTGAAAGTACAGTATAACAAGACTTGGCCAGTCTTGTTATACTGTACTTTATATACTTTATATATAACTAAAGCAATACTTAGGAAAAGCATTCATATCTCTAAATGGCCCCATTATAAAAACAAGAAGTCCTAGAAGGAAAAAGAATTAAATATTCAAGTCAGAAAAGAATAAGAAGAGGAAGAAAAGTAAAAAGGAGAGGTGAAGAGAGAAACAATTAATTAACAGAGATGGTGAGCCAAGGAGAGGAAAACAATGAGGAGAAAGAACCAAATCAAATTAGGTAGGAGAGAAGAAATTACACAGAACTCAGAAATTGTGGAATAGAAATCCAAAAAAAAAAAAAAAAACAGGGATGATTAACAAAACTACTTGCCAGTTATTTGAAAATAAATTAAAAATTAGATAGGATTATTATCAAAAGGACAGCCAGCTCCCAATGAGATTGCTAAATAGCCCAAGTACACAACGCAGCGAGTACAGGGAAAAAAGGAAGATTTTTCAAAGTCCCAGTCAGAAAGAAGAAAGTCTCCCAAGAAAAAAGAAAGCAAAACACTTATTAAGAAAAATAGGATATACTCAGAAGAAATAAGAGAAAATAACTTAATAAAAATTCAAGATCCTATGAATCTCACCCTCACAACCATAAAAGATAGTGATCACAGAGTTTTATAGTTAATTTTAAGAAACACTCAGAACAAAGATAATTCTTTTGAAAATATTATCAATGAGTAGAAAAAGATTTACTCATTTTATGAGCTTAATTATAGGATTGATATCAAAACTGAACAAGAACACTAACTAAATTAAAATTTCAAATCAATTTCTCTTACAATTATAGGTAAACATAAGTAAATCAAATTCATCCCAGGACTGTAAGTTACATTGAATTTTAGAAAAACTGTCAATGTCACTGCTTGAAAAGATGAGTACACAAAACTAAATTGGTAGCTGCAGTAGCAGATCTCAGTGAAGCTCAATAATTATTTCTCATGATGTTTCTTGCACAGTAGATATACGACTTATCAATTTGCAGCCTATCAATTTCAAATTCTCCCCCTAGTACCAACTCTAGCTGATCAGTGGCATAGATATGTGAAGACAACTCAGTACCATCTCTTTTAAAATATTGTTAGATCATGAGTATAACCCATAATAGTCAATGCAGAATTAACCCAGGAAGTCAATCTAGCATTATGTATTTTGGTATTAACATAATTAATATAATTCTGATGCAAATATGACTTTATATGCGCCAGAGCATTTTGCTAATGCATTTTTGGACTGCCTTTGGGTGGGGGGTAGAGTGCTTATCTAACATGTATAAGGTCCTATGTTCAATCCTAGCACGTAAAAAACAAAAACAAAAAAACTGCCTTTATTTTTTCCTTATATTAACTGATAGAAGACATAGACTTTTATATATTGAAGATTACACTGTAGAATGTTTATTCCATGTTGTAAAATTTAAATGTTCTTCAAAGGGCATTTTAGGATGCACAATACACTTTTCTGTTTCTTGATCAACTTTTTGTCATCAACTTCAAAGATTTGTTGTTTGCATGGTTAAGTCATGGAGCTTCTTATGAGACAACCTTATGTCTTTACAGTGGAGGGTTCTGGGCCTGACATAGGAAGGTTAGTAGGAGGCAGAATTGCACTGGTGGCCGTGTGTATCTGACTCTAAATCCCTACATCTCAGGCATTACCCTGCAGTGTTTTTTCCCTTAAGACCATTAAACTTCACTTAGTGATGCTGGTATTTTCTTCTTGTTCATTTTGTGATACTGGTGCTATTCCTCTAGGTATTCTTATCCACATACATAAATGGAAGGTATTTTTAAAATCTGTAAGCCTGTGTATATTCATCTGTAAGTATGCATCCAACATGTCATTAAACTGAGTGCTCCCAAGGGATCAAATAAATTATCAAATTCTTGATAAATCATCTACTCCCTTACATTTGTCCTGTTAATCCCTATCCAAAGCTTTGATCACTGAGGAAATTATGGTTTGGTAGCCGACAGCTCGACATTTAAGCATAAAAAGAATGTGCTCTAAATATCTATTCTGGAGACAGCTCCTGATACTGCACTCCAAAACAAGAGACTGCTCTAAGCCGGGATGCATATTCCAGGAGCCCCATGGGGTAAGCTGGTGATAGAGGCTGAGGGGCAGCTCTCACGTGGTAACAGTGTTGAAGCCACAGGCCTTCAGCTTGAGCAAGCGGTCCCTCCAGTACTCCCTGGGCATCCGGAAGTAATGGATGGAGCCCCCGAAGATGAGGAACTTATGACCCTCCAAGGTGAAGTGTGCACACCTTCCAACAAGTCCCTCAGATCGTTTCTTCAGTGTGAGAGGGTTCAGATGAGACCAGTTAGACCTGCATGGAAAGTGGAAGGAAGGAAGAAGGAAGATAGACAGGAGAGCCTGCTGCAACCTTCAAGAAAATGAAGTTCCTGTTTGCAGGACCTGCCCTGTGCATGGTAAGCATATTTCTTTCTCCAGTAAGAGAAAGCTCCCTTGTTACCCACTCAGGTTCCCCACTCAGGCAAACCTGCATGAAGACCAAGTCACTTTTCCATCTTCATGTTTAGGGCAAGAAGCAAAACCTGATAAGATAATTGGCAGAAAAAAGATGCCCACGATTCCTTTCCAGGCTAGGCAGCAACTGTGGGGAGAAAAATATAACAGTAACGACATGAAGGTGTTGGCCTCCTCAAGCTGTAAGGACCAGAAGGTTACTCTAGGGTCCTCTACAGGAATCTCATCACAAGCAGGGATTCTCTTAGGGGAGCCTAAGGTAAGAGAGCTACAGCCCCACCTGGCTCTACCCAGGTTTCCCATCACCAGTTATCCCAGTCCTCCTCAGTCAGAACTGAAGCTGGGGACAGACAGAAACTGGACAGGTTTAATCACTGGGGGTCAGGCAAAGTCAGGGAAGAAAGGGGGCTTCACCTCAGGTGGGGCAGTCCACACAGAGGGTCCAGGAAGGAAACAGGGTGCAGTACTGGAGCACCTTGTCTACAGCCAGAACCCTGGATTTTCTTGTACTGAATTAAATGTAAAGACCCCCAGCAGCACAGGACAAGGGGGCTTTCTACATAAGAAAGAGCTGGGAGGGAGGAAGCTTGAAAGGGGACTTAATGAGAAGAGTCTCCTGCATGTTTAAGGACCAGGAAGACGTCTCAGTCCACATAACGCTCCCAGGGCCTGGGGCCAGGAATAGCTGTGCACAACTGATAGAATGGATGTGGGGGAAGGTCTAGGAGGCTCTCTACTAAGACCACTCAGGGTTATGGGAAAGCAGCACTAGATAGGAGGAAAGGCCCCAGCTCCTGGAAGGGCAGGCTGGGCCACAGACTTGGACAGTCCCATAGGCAGCTGGGATGAGTTACCTGGTGTAGGGCAGGGAGCCCATCTCAGTGAGGCCAGTGATCCAAGATCCCTTACTGTTTCTGCCCCTCTCTGTAGCCTCAGATGCAGAACACCAGGCAGAACGGGGCAGAGGTCAAATCTGAGCTCTGAGCCTGGAACCTGGAGTGAAATCCATCCAGAGGAGTTGGCACAGGGATTCCTGGACCTCACACCACAAAAGTCTGTCAAACAATGCCCCGGGAAGTCTGTCAGACTCTACTCCAAAGAACAGAGGAGCCTGCAGCCCAGGGTGTGCAGACCTCCCGTCCTTGACACAGATGCCGCTCAGCCCTGAGAAGTAAAACAGGAGGATCCTTGTATTATCATTGGAGCTTGCCTTTCCTCAACTATGAGACAACAGCCAGCTGGCACAGAATCTGAAGATTAGTGGGAGGAAAGAAATTAGCTGCCTTGTACTGGAAAGCCAGAAGTCCTGATTCCACTGGTTCAGCAAAAAATTCAGTGTCCATTCAGTGCCCATTGACCAGGTTCCAGATGCAGCACTTCAGACTAAAATGAAGAAGTTCTAAACACAGTTTAGGGAATTTTTGTAGGATGGGTAAATGCTTAAAGACTGAATAGGGTGTGATGGAAGACCAGGTTTTATTTTAAATTTTTTGAGAAACCTACATACTGCTTTTTAGGCCACGACCAGTACAGGCTTCATAAATGAAGGTTCGGTATGTGAGAAATCCGTAGGGAGTTTTGAATTAAAGAGATAGACTCCGATTACCTTTAAACCAGCTCCAGGACGGCTTCGCCTAGCTCCAGCCTCCAGCTACCTATTATGGTATCGAGGTTTACTGAAGAGGCTAGTGAGAGAGAGAGAGAGAGAGAGAGAGAGAGAGA